AGGGTTCTTGTGTGATATTGGTAAAATGTATTCAGTTTCGTTTGTGTTTATTGAGAAAGTGTAAGTTTCGTAATCAATTTTTGAAAAATATTTATTGAAAAAGTCACGTCCTAGAATGCCATCAGTAGGAATTGGAAATTCGTCACCTACTACTTGAAATTTATGCTTTAAGCAATCGTTCACTATTTTAAAATTTAAATTTGTAGTACCTAATGTTGTAATTGGACTGTCAGTTATTCCAGTGAGTTTACATAATTGTTCGCCTGCAATGTCTTCGTCATTTGTACAATGTTTTTTACATATTGACACATCTGCGCCAGTATCTAACAAGAATTTTAATTTTTTATTTAAAGTCTGTAGTATAATATAATTGGGTATTGATTCTCCATTCTCATTTATTGTTGTTGTCCCCGCGTAGCCTATTCTGTAGTTTCTCTGTTGGTACCGGGGTTGTACTCGTTTCCCTGTTCCCTGTTCATGACACGTATCCTATTATTTCTTGTGTCTGTTCCTCTATTATTCTGTTGTCTGCCATTATTTGACCATTGGTGGTTATTAAATCGTTGGTAATTATTCGATCGCTGATAATTATTCGATCGTTGTTGTCCAAATTGTTGGTGATTGTTATTTTGGGGTTGACTAGTTCTAAATGAACTGGTTTGTTGATTATTTCCATTTCTTTGATTCCTGTTTTGGTTGCTTCTATAATTGTTTCTATTCTGGTTAGACCGTTGATTATTTTGCCATCTTGTGTTTTGATTATGTGAACGGTAGTGCATCATACTGTGTTGTTGTGGATTATCGATGCTTGATGCTAATTTAACTGCGTCAATTAATTTTGTTGGTTGAGCTGCAATTACCACGGATCTAAATGGTTCTGATAAGCCATTTTTAAAAGTGTTCAATCCAGTTTCATCATTTATGGATAATATAAGTGCTCTGTTCTGTTCTCCTCGTTCAGTTATCTGAATATCATTTAGAGTTGCTATCAGGGATTCTATTTTGGAAGCATATGAGTTTATGCTCATATTACCTTGGTATAATCTTGAAAGTTCACCTTGAATATGTGCTGTATTTTTCTTTGGTTTATATGCGTCATGTAATATTTGTTTCAACGCTATAAGTGTGGATGGGTTTACAACAGTTAAAATTCTGTTTTTAACTTTCTCAGTTATTCGGGTTGCTAGGACAAATTTAATCAAGGATTCTCTATCGACTCCTTCTTTAAGGGTGTCATGATAAAATTCTATCATGCCAAGAAAAGTAGATAGTGATTGTTGTTCACCACTGAATTGGGGTATTATTTTTGAAGCTGTCGAAATATCAAAACTAGCCATGTCTGCTTTTTGTTTGAGATATTTTTCAATATTATTTTTTAGATTACTAAATGCTTTTTTATAAGTTTCTAAATCAGATTCTTTTATTAGAGGTAAATATTTTAACCAGATATTTTCTAATTCTTCCTTTGTTTTCTCTATAAATTCCCTAGAATATAACCTATTGGGGTTTTTCTTAAGCTTTTCTAATATTTGTTTAGCTTCAGTGAATTCCATATATATTTTTATTTATAGTTCATAAAGTAAAAATTTTTGAAGTACATTCTCTTATGTTTATGACCTTCTAGTCTTATTAGTGAATAAAATATAATTAGATTTATTACCATTTTGGTTGAAATTGTTATATATGTTTTAGTGTACATTAAATAAAATTACTTATTATATATTTTTTTTTTTAAAGATTTTTAATTAATCGATTTACATAATTAATTAATTTAATGTGTTTTCTATCTAAATGTCTGCTTAATCTTCTACTTGTTTGGTAACTTTTACCACAAACAAAACAATTAAAGTTATTCATATTTATAAAAAAAAAATTTTTTTTTAAAAACATATATATATTTTTTTTTTTTTATTAAGCAAATTTAAACCATGTTATTGCTTAAAATAACATGTCTTTTGACATATTTTTTATAATGATTGTTTACTTTGGATAGTACTAAATACAACAATAAAATACATATAAAATACAAAATTGTTTTAGAATCAGCTAACTCGTTGCTGCTGTTATTACTGTTGTTATTGTTGTTGTTGTTGGTGTTGTTTATCACCTCTTCCTTGGTGGGTTGACTGCCCATTCCTTGTCTCTCTTATTTTTCTTTTTATTGACAGTTGGTCTTCTGACGATGTGGCAAGATTCAATTCTCTATATAGGACTGCTATTAGTTTTCTTTTATTGTATTGCTTTCCGCCCCTTTTTCTTTTAGGTTTTATTGGTGTCTTCGGTACTGGTGTTGCTTGTGGCTTCTGCTGCCTCGCTTTATACTGCTTGATTGTTAACGGCTTAGGTCCAGCTGTCTTGTCCACCGGTATGTATTTTGGAGCTTCTATTGGAAGACCATTTATACATTGAGGGATGTACTCTTCAACGTCATCAAATACATTCAGAAATTTTTCCCAAACTTGGGAAATATTTTTAGATTCCTCAAGTAAAGACATACAAAATTGACGTATGTTGTTTTGGGAGAAAATATAATATAATAATTTTTTGAGAGAATTTAGATCCTAGAACTTCCCTTTTTTTTGGCTTGACTTCGATTAGATTCGAGTGGTCAGGATCGCCATGTAATAATAAATTTTGTTTTCATATACAAAATATATTATTTTTATTTTTATTTTATCTTTATAAGATTTTTATTTTCGAATTTATTAGTTTCTTCTCATTAGGATTAGCAGGAAGAAATCTGCTCATTATTAGGCATCCAAGAATGCCGAGACAAAAATAAGTTTTGAGACTTTTGTTTAAGCTGTTCGAGCTCAGTTTAAAATCTGAATTTTATTAACAATTTTCCAATCTATTTATACAAAAATGTTTTACAATGATTTACAAATATTTTCCTGATAATTTTAATTGCGGCGGCACTAAAATGGTTGACCCACGACAATGCTTAGAAAATATTATGACACATTCAAGTGTGTCATATCGACAAGTGCAGAATAGTAGCACAGAAAAGAAAAGTGTCAAATAGCAATTGCATACTTGCTATGACCAAATATTCTACTTGCATTGCGGTGGTTCTTCCGTGTGCGATCGCATTACATTAGTTAATATAAAATAATTTGTGCATAAGCACTTTCAAAAATACATGACATAATTTATTATTTGTTTTTGTTTACATTTACATAGTTGCGCTATACACAACAATAAGTTTCTAAATGAAAGTAAAAGTTTACGCATAAATTTTCTAAAATCAGAAACAGTAGTTCATATATTTTGCAGTTATACTGGACTATGTGGGCTAATGTTTTCTTTGTGATTATTAAAAATTGATTTTATTGTTGTTGCTTCTTGAATCGTCATTTGTAAAATTTTTTTTAAACCTTAAAACTATTATTTCAACATTCATATCATTTGCATATAATATGAGTTAAAGTCTTGGATTATTATTTCTGATTCAAATCATAACAAATCGGAGAGTGAAGTTGAAATTAGAACACACGAAAGCGTTGAGGTAGACCTCACAATGGTCAACGCATAAATAATAGATTAATTCAAAAGTGTGGAAGAATCAACTATTGTTCCCAATTACCAAGTGTAAAAAGAAAATGTATTTATAATATAATTATTATAATGATAGTTCATATGGTCAAGTCAGTGTGATTCAGTATGACAGCAGAAGAGTGAATGGAAAGCAAAAAACGCTTTAAAAAGTGAAAATAATTTGTGAAGAATTATTCTTGTTAACTGAAGTAAGTATTCGTGAAATGGGAAGAAACGAAAGAGTTGCATAATAACAACAATAAAAATGCTTTCATATAAAATTGGCCATAAAAACACAATTAAAGCTGAAATATATTTTGACCATCTTCCATTCCAAAAGTACGCGTTCGCTTTGTTCATAGATTGAAGCTGGAAGCGTTATTAGTTCAAAACAGATTGTGCCTCGGCGAACAACCAAAATTCTTGCTTTCGCTTACTCATGAGCGCTATTAGAAGATTTCGGTCAAAAATGTATAACAATGAAACCAATGTATTCAACATGTTGATTTAATAATAAAAAAAAGTTGAAGATGAATTCATAATAAAGAAGAAATAAATAGACTCTTATGTGAAAATGTATTTGAAATTGTTACTATTTTTTATGATTATATCGCATTTCGACGTTTTAAAGTGTTTAACTCGAAGAAAAGGAGATATTTTAGTGAGAATATATTCGACTGGATTCACACCATTTGATGATGATATCTTGCCTTACGGTTTAATACATAGCATTCACGGTAAACAAGTGCGTTACACAAAACAAAGAGGTTGGAAGAAAGACCACAAAACTTTCAATTATAAACGGCCTACCTATGCTGGTAGATCTGAAACAGTCGCAACTGCACAAAGTCTAGGACACTATCCAGCGCAAACAGTTTTGAATGCTCCTCTCTGGGTATCGCATAAGACACAATTTAATAGACCACAAATGCACTTCGAACCACTGAAGTCGAATTCCAAGCAATTCAATTTATACGATGAGGATGGCGAAATTTTATTAGATTTGAAATATCATGACAATGCCTTCCCATTAACTAAAACTAACCAAAAGGAAAGCATGAGAATGCAAATCCATTCTAATCGAAGTCAAAGTACAAGGAATATTAAACATTTTTGGCTGCACCTTTAAATGCTATAAAACTATACGAAACTACCTAATTTGTTACTATTATGTATAATGTTATTAAAACATAAATACCAACAACAAAGTTAATATATGTAAATGATAACTTAATTAAATTAATTAAAATAAACTTTATTTAAGTTAAAAGTTGTTCAATATTAAGAGCAATTAATCAACTCAGTGATTTGTAAATTTATAAATTAATTAATAAAAAAATAAATTGTGTATAATTTATGTAACATTATTATTTATATACAAAAGGTTTTACTTAAATACTAAATCAATTGATCTAAAACTAAATAACAACTACGACTAGGTATCACAGTGGAAATATAATTTTTTACCAACCGCCTGATACAGGTGCTGGTGGCAAGTAGCCGGAATGTGGTATACTGCCACTTACACCAGTGTTATGGCTTTCATGATGTATTACTTTTATAGTTTTCACTTCATCATGTCCGTTGCCTCCACCGATAAAACCACCATGTCCATGTCCACCAAAGCTGTGACCTCCAGCGAAACCGCCACCAAGACCGTGTTCTTCATGAATAACTTTAATCGTGTTTATATCTTGGTGTCCACCATGTTCGAATCCACCACTAATGTGTCCAGCTCCAATATGTCCACCATTTTCTTGATGTAAAACAGCAACAGTTTCAATTTCTTGGCCAACAAGACCACCATGTCCACCACCAACAATTTCACCACCAGAAACTCCTCCATGTCCACCTTCCTGATGAATTACTTTTATAGTTTTAATATCTTGATTACCATGATTTATGCCTGCAGCGAAATCGCCATGGCCTGCAGAGAAATGAGCTCCTTCCGTGTGACCAACTCCGACATTACCAACTTCTTCATGAATAACTTTAACAGTTTTGACTTCATGATGTCCACCATGACCACCATGCCCACCATGACCACCATGATTACCAAAATGGTTGTGACCGACTTGACTGCCATGTCCACCTATAAAACCACCATGTGCACCTACGGAGACGCCACCATGACCGCCGTTCTGGTGTATTACTTTTATAGTTTTAACTTCTTGATGTCCACTCTGTCCAATTCCTGAAACAAAGCCACCATGATTACCAGAAATATGACGTCCTTCTACATGACCACCGCCAATATGACCACCTTCTTCGTGAATAACTTTTAAAGTTTTAACTTCATGATGGGCACCATGATTGCTATGGCCACCAACAAAACCAGTATATCCACCGCTATTATGTCCACCGTCTTGGTGTATTACTTTGATTGTTTTAACTTCTTTATGACCACCATGTCCACCATTACCACCATGACTACCATGACTTTCGGAAAATCCAACATTAGCGGCATTTACAAAACCACCGCCATGACCAGCTTCCTTATGTATTACCTTTATAGTTTTTACTTCTTGATGGCCTGCACTTATGTGACCGCCACCAATTGGACTTGCAATAGCATGACCACCGCCAATGTGGCCAACATCTTTATGAATTACTTTAATAGTTTTGACGTCATGATGTGCTGAGTGACCACCTCCGATATGACCACCTCCGATATGACCACCTTCAATATGTCCACCACTGATATGACCACCTCCGATGTGACCACCTCCGATATGACCACCTTCAATATGTCCACCACTGATATGACCACCTCCGATGTGACCAACATCTTGGTGAATTACTTTAACTGTTTTCACTTGTTGTGTTTGGTGACCACCTCCGATATGACCACCACCAACGTGATTGATTCCAATATGACCGCCGCCTCCACCAACATGACCAACATCTTGATGAATTACTTTGACAGTTTTCACTTCTTGATGGACGCCATGGCCACCATGTCCAATATGACTTCCGGAGTGTCCATTAACAAAACCACCACTGTGTCCACTTTCATGGTGTATAACTTTGACAGTTTGTACATCCTGATGACCGCCGATTGTTCCACTGTGTCCAGGTGCGTAGTTGTAACCCCTACCACCACCACCGCCACCACTTCCAATGTTACCGCCGCCAATAAATCCGGCCGAACAGGTGGCAGCCAAAATGGCTAAAATACATACAAAAACCTATGAAATGAAAGAGTTTAATATAAATAATAATCCACGTCAAATATATGGTTGAGGTTTTCGTACCTTCATGCTGGAAGTTTCTTGCTTAATTTTTAATAATAGGAACTTCGCTAAGCTGTAGGGCTGTAGCTCTCAAACTGATGACCACTGAATAAACTCACATTCTTTTTATACATCAATTAGGTTGTTTTAAAACAACATCAGTTGATTGTCGATTGCCCATAACATGGCTTGCACAATCCAACTTGATTTAATACAAAAATTTCTTCTCCATCAATTTTGCGCATTTGCATTAATTTCCATAATACGGTTATATTATCTCCGTCGTATCCCATCCGTTTGACACCTTCTCAATGATCCAAAAAGCAAAACTTCAACTTGCAACATCTGTTAATCTTAATAGGTGTGTATCTTTTGCTCGCAAATATTTATGCAAATCTACGCCGAAAGAAACAAATTTAAAAATTATGCTTTTGTTTTGCAGTTACAAATTTGGCAAAATTTTACATTTCGTCACCAATTAATTAAACTTTTTTAAAATATTTTATTTCTGCATTTGCAGATATTCGCACACGATTTAATGAGATTCAATGAATAAATTATAACATAATGTGTTTAAATAATAGTAGTGTATAAAATGAATATTTCATTTAATAATTTCAATGTTTGATTAAAATACTCGTAGGTTTGTGTTTACTTCTTCACATAAAATTATACTCCAACGGTTCATCTTTTTGTTCCTTATTATTAATTATTTGTAGTTCGGTGTAGAAGTACCTTTATATTTTATATATGTATATGTAATTATTTTTATTTTAAATTTATCTAAATTTAAATTTACTAAAATTCAAACCAAAAACAATGAAGAAAGTTAAGCGATTATTTAGTTTCAGTGCCCTTCAAATCAGATGGTTTTGTTGCAATTCAATTACTTATTACATTACATACGCGAGTATAGTTTTCAACAATATTTTTAAATTTATTTATTTAATGATAAGTGCACTCTAGTTTATTTCAAAGTTACTTTTTGAATATTATTCCATTATATAGTTAAGCGATTTCATCCATTTATTAACTTTATCTGCCTGGACTCACAAAGAAATTAATAATTGAGAGGAACTAACTTCTATAAAGT